TCAAAATAATTGATTACTCAGAAAATTAAGCATTCATTTGATTCAGACACCTGTTATGATCACAGACCCTACAGTAACTACATGTATCTAGGAGGATTATTTGACCACAGGATGTACATTTTGAGTTTGTGGTAGTTTATGGACTTGAATGAGGCAGTTTCGAGGTAGATTGGCAAATTTTGGTCAAACTGAGGGAGGGTTGACAGCTATGCAATTTGAAGATTTGACCTGATAATTAGATTTACTGATATATTTTAGCATACTGGCTAGATGTGATGTCTTATGAATGAATAAACATGTTCTAAAACAGATATTTCTGATTATGAGTATTATAGCAAAACCATTTAGTATCAGGTTCATAAATGTTACTTTCTTTTGTGTTTCAGTGAAAAATGGTTCGGACTGAAGTACGAAATAGGATGAAATAGTAATTTCTTTTGGTAATTTGTAAGTATGCAGAGTTATTTTTATTTTGTTTAAATTCTTTAAACTTATACATTGTATATATATGCTTTTAAACTGTAACCATGATTTTTATATCAAATTTGAATATCAAATCTTTCTACTTGTAAACTAGAATCCATCTTGCAGTTGAATTAAAAAAAACCACCTGATATCTCAGAAAGTGATGAATGAATTGTGTAATAAAATATTTATGTTTATTTACAAAGACATATATAGGGGTCAAAGGTCACAAGATCAAATTTCTTGCCAAGTAATGAATTGATTATTGATGTCACTTACCACTCTTGCTCAAGTTGAAAATCAAGAGTTGGAGGCTTAAAACATAAATATGGAGAATGCTGAGACTGAAGGTCAAAGGTCAAGGTCACAAGGTCATGATAACTATATTAAGTTTATTGAAAGATCAAGCAAGAGTCTGATTGTGAGTCATCTAGGAACTATATTTAAGGAAGTAGACTGTCATAAATATTATAATTAGAGTCTAAAATGTATGTATGTACAAGATATGAGGAGAAAGTCTTTAACACTTAATAATAAAACGTTTTATTGATTTATATATATATATATATGCTTAATATACCCTATTAACTCATTCACCCCTGAAATTTGATAATGAACTATTCCAACCTTTGAATTGGAAGAGTTCAAATGTGTCTTCAGGGGTGAATGAATTAACAGCTATGGTTATTTGAAGATGAGTCAGAATTTGGTCAAAGGCGAACCTTGTAGAATTAAGAAATAAGTATTTGCGTTAAATGTTCCAAAGCAATTTTTGTTAGTGCAATTTTGCAAGGGACATTAATATTGCTATATTCAAATGGTAGAAATTTGGCTACTTCCTCATAATGATAATAATAATGGATTAGAAAAACTCACACGGTCAAAATAGAAATAAAATGGATAGATACGTACCCTGGTAGTATGGAAAAAATTTCAACAACCTTTTCTAGTTGTCACCAAAATATATTATGGGGAGGATATATACTTTCTTTTAAGTGATGTTCGAGTTCTGATAGCCCTGTAAACTGATTAATCAAGTACAGAATTCATGATCCATTATAGGCGGAATTCTGTGTAGATGTTATATATAGAGTTTTCAGTGGAGGTATTTATGATTCGAAGCCTTTATCCTATATTATATACATGTATGTATCTAGATTCTAACAAGAATTAAGCAACTGAGTTCTCCCGATATTTATTTCTAACTGCTATATAATATGTTTGTATCATCACTGACTTACTTTTACTGTTAAGCCTGCACATGACGGCTTAGTATTTGAAGGGATATAATTCTTACATGGTATCGTTTTAAACATAAGCAATTCGCAACAAATAATATGTTAACACCATTGCATTTCTATAAAACGATTCTTAATCAATTATCGGAGGCACGGTAGTCTAGTGGTAGGACGCGGGGCTCGTGACGGAAGGGTTGCGGGTTCGAGTCATGTCACCGCACTGTGTTGTATCTTTGAGCAAGATACTTTACTCCGCTTATTCCAGTCTACTCAGCTATAAACGAGTACTTGGTTGAGCAGTGCTAGAATTGTAGAATGCTAGCTGTGAGCGCCGAAATGGCAGCACCGGATATATGCTCCCCAGGGAGTTGAGAAATATGTTGGCTCGTTACAAAGGCCCTATATAACCACAGATAATAATTTGTGAACTGCTTTGAGACGACTTACAAACTAGGTTGTGATAAAGCGGTATATAAGAACCTCAAATTATTATTATTATGAGTAAGTGTAACCAATGATTATCTTTTCAATCGCTCCCCAAACACTAATTTCTTCTATCGTCACATCTCTGAATCTATCTCAAGGGTAATCTAGATCTTAAGATTATATGACTTGATCTGAATTAACAAGTAGTATTCCTCTGTTTGATTACATGGCGTGCAGAGGCCAATATTTCTGTTTAGTGCGTTTTAAAATACAAGTCAATTTGCTAGAGTTAGACAACCATACGGTTATTGAATATTTAACGAACCCTTATCTACGAAGATGACTTATCATTATTTTGTATCATAATGTTATCAATAATTCTGTGGTTGTTCCTGCCACATCATATGATCATTATAGCTTTCATCTTCAGATATGAACTACATGTATAGTGTTTACCTAACCAAACATTACTTGGAAGGTGTAAAGTTGGCAAATTGTGTTTGTATATTGTGTGTGCACATGTACAGACAGGTGTGTGCAGAAATATGCTTGCATGCAGTGTAGCCGCTGTCGCTGGTAATTAATAAAAACAATATTTTACAATATATGCACATTCTATCAAGCTATTTATTACTGTAAACAGATTAAACTCATTCTGAAAATTAGTTACATTTAATGACAAAAAAAAATAGTAAAAAAAAGTAGGGCTTGTAGAAATTCAGCTTGGGCAAGTGGATTTTTGGTGTCTATACTTGCCCCAGGCAATGAAGTGACTTGGAAAACGTTTTACATCCCTGATTTATACATTATCAAACATTGCAGATAACACCCATCTATAATGAAGCAAATTGTAATAGACTCTAGCAGCTGTCAAAAATGATAGCACAGAAAAAGTCTACTGTTAGGATCGCAACTTAGTGTGGCGAGGCTCCAATAGTGACCAAAAGTGATTATAATCGGAACATCAAACTGTTGTAAATCTATTGTGGTAAATCTACTAAATGTGCATAACTATGATGGTATACCACTTAGAATTGGGATTTGCAGCATATTTTTGCCATGTAAAATCAAAGGCTGAGTTGGTGTATTCATTTGACAGGCTTGTGTACTTTTGGTCAACACTTAAAATCAGACATTCAGTGATGGGCATCAGAACCTGAAATCATAATCGATTATTGGAAGACTTTTAATGAACGATTATCAATTATATTTTTGGAACATCAAACAAGGCTGACTTGGTGTATTCATTTGACAGTCTTTCAAGGTTTTACACTTTTGGTTTTAACCTTCTACTAGAACTTGACTTACAAGTAAATCTGACAGATATCAACAGAAAACAGCATGCAACATTTAAACCGATTAATCAATCATGAAATTTATCAATCGGTTTATCTGAATTGGTTGTACAATCGATCGATTTTCAATTATAATCGATTATCTGAACAACACAAGTCATTTGCACAAAACAATATGCAAAACACTGGTGTGCAGTATCAGAATGAATGTCTAACAAAAGATCTAGATAAGAGGGTACAAGTCAATAGATATCTTGTTCATAAAGGATGTGTCTACTTATGCCCTACTTACACACCATGCCTTGATCAAGGGGACAGATCTAGAATACTTCCGACTCTGCCCCACAAGCCTGGATCCCTCCAATCTAGTTTTTCCACAAACCTCCTAGCTCTTTACCATGAAATTCTCTTCTACTTCTACCTCCACCCCAACCCCTGACAAAAAGACACCACCACCAACCACTACCCCATTATCCCATTCCAACCCCCACCCTAATCCCCACCCCATAACCATCCTAACAGGTCTAACACAACTCCACCTACTGTTCAACCAAACCCCATCCCCATGTTTTCCACGTCATACTTACCCAACGTTACCCAACTACGTGAACTAATTTAATATTAACACTGAAGATTTTACGCCTGAACTGATTTCCCAAGGGGTCCTTTATTCTCTAGCCCCACCCCATGTATCCACATCAACACTCCAAATAATGCCCCGCCGGCCCCCACTCCCCCCATCCACCCCCCACCCTATCTCCAAGCCCCACACACGGCATATTCAATATCCTTCTCCTCGCCACAGGTCAACCACTGACTGAGAACAGTGTGTGATGTGAAGAAAACAAACTTGAATATATTTATTACTCGGATAATAAATGTCATTAAATATGGATCTGATTGTTTTGTGTCATTTAAAATTAAGTTCTATAAATATTTATAGTAAAAGATTCTCCAATGAATTGCCTGTTTTGTTATTTTTTAAAGTAATTGAGGTTTACTTCGGAGTTTTGTCAATAGTGCAAATTCTTTGTGTGTCAATGGTGCAAATTCTTTGTATTTGAACCTCTGCCAGCAGTCTTGTAACTAAATACTTTACATTCCAATACTACAGGTAATGTTCTTTCTCTCAAGGCAAACACACAGTTGTACATGTATATACAACTGGGGAACTTGTTAGGCTATAGCTAGCTGGCCAGCAAACAAATGACGGAAGGTTATGAAAAGAATCAATTGTCCGCTTTAAATAACAGGGCTTTCAGTTGGCTCTTGGCCCTCGGTGATTTTGGAAGTCAAAAAAAAGTTTCCTTATATTTTAAGAGTACACACACTTGCCAAACATCAATAGAAAATCGAGAAGTCATTTCCAGAGATGTTAGTTAAAAACGATGTTACTTTTTGTCATTTGTGCTCATAGAAAATGATCAGTTTCTTATTAAATCATTATCTTACATTTTGTGGCACCCTTCCAAAGAATTCTGACAATTTTTTTGTGTAAAACTGTTGGTAGTTATTCATGTATACATATGCTTTTGTTGTTAGATTTCCTACATTAACCAACCAAATATCAGGTCTCTTTGGCATTTGATACAGACAATGAATCAGCCTTTATGATTGACTGCTTCAAATGACAGCCATTCTGGGAACTGACTTGATCTTGTGAGGTGATTGGCTAGTAGTACACAGCTGACAATAGTGGGGTCAAGTGAGAGGTCACAAGCATGCAGTGTACATATGTGTGTTCTCTGACATCTATATTTAAACTGAAAATCTCCAATTCATATATGGTAAGGATTTCCCAGTTGAATTATAGCTACAGGTAGATCTAGAGCTTGTCAGGATCATCAAATTCCTCAGGTGTGTAATTGGGTGAGCTAATTTTTATCTGACTGTTTGATAGGTCTTTACATTTAATTTTCTGGATGGTGTTTGTTTATCAAATGGTTAGATGAAATTGACATTGTAAACAGCAATGTACATATGTGCTGCCACTACAATAGATGTGTCATTTTATTTTTTGAGAAATTGACGCTGTAGGATTAAATGCATGCCCTGAAATAGACCTACTACATTGTACATAGGCTAATCAATTGGAATTTGCTATGAATTGTTATTGTCAGTAGATGTTAGATGTCTGATGTCTTTCAGTGGGGGGTAATTTAACCATTGCATATTCCATGCCTAGAGGGAAATTAATTAAGATTTTAAGCTAACCATGCTTTTAAAATCTTGGCCATTTACATTATCAGATAACAAAAAGGGTCCAAGATTTGTAGGGTTGGTTAGCTTAATAAGTCGTTAGTGTAAATTTTCAATATATATGTAAAATTTGAGATTTATCTGAAAATTTACAGAACTTTTTTTGACTAACAGGGGTGGGGGTGGGGGT